CCCATTATACGTTGTCCGATCGGTGAATGAGTGTAAATAAAGCGGCCCATTCGTGAATGAGCTCAACTCAGCATTCTCTGCTTGATCGTCAAGCAGTTCAGTTCGGTGTTAGCTCGCTTTCTCGAGTTGTTTGAAAAGTTCATTGCGATAGTGTTCGCGCTCTCTCTTTCGCGGTTTGTCGTGCGTGTGTGTGTGCCCCGTAATGGGGAAGCATCGGTCGCGAAGCCCGGCGAAGGTCCAGAACCCCGGAGAAGGAAGCTCTGGTGTGCCTACCTCGAACAGGTTTGCTGTTCTCCCCATGGATGGGAATATCCAGCCAGCTGTGTTGGAAAAACGCAGTAAGAAGAGGAAGAAGAATCGAGGCCAGTCCGATATCACTGCGACGAACAACAGCGATGTTGGAGATTTCGGTGACGCTGCCGAAACCGTGAATACTGACGAAATGAGCTCGGCAAAAGTGAAGCTACCTCCATTGGTAGTGAAAAATGCCCATCTTAATGTGCTCATTGCGGATCTAGCGACGCTGGGTGTTAAAGCCGAATACAAGTTGGGCAGAGTCGGCACTAAAGTGATGCTCCGTACCAAAACGGAGTTTGACGTGGTCGTCGCCCACCTGAGGAGTTCCAAGGTGGAATTCTTTACCCACGACATTCCCGGTGAGAAGCCGTTCAAGGTCGTCATCAGGGGCCTACCAAACTTCGACCCGAAGTTTATCGAATCAGAAATCAGGGACCGGTACAAGCTGGCCCCAAGTGCCGTGTATCGAATGACAAGAAGAGACGAGAATGTGAAGGCGTATCCGGATAGCCTTTTCCTGGTACACTTCCAGAAGGGAACGGTGACGCTCAACGCACTGAAAGCCATCCGGTCCATCAATTCCATCATCGTTCGCTGGGAGCCATACCGTGGCGGCCATCGCGATGTGACTCAGTGCCAGCGGTGTCTGAACTTCGGACACGGTACCCGCAACTGCAACATTAAGCCACGCTGCGGAAATTGCGCTCAAGACCATGCCACCTCCGAATGTGCTGCGGATGAAGCTGTGGCGTCCAAATGCGCCAACTGTGGTGGTGCTCACCAAGGATCCAACAAGCAGTGCCCTAAACGCGAGGATTTCAAGCGCATCCGAAATCAAGCGTCCACCAACAATCAACCAGCACGAAGGAAGGATAAGGCCCCGGCTTTCAGGACAGAGGACTTTCCACCTCTTCGTGGACAAGCGAATCCCAGGGTGCGATCCGCGCCCCCTCAAGAAACGTCTGGATCCTCTGCTGGACAAAGCTCTCCATCCCCCCCTGGATTCTGGAGGCAACCAACAGCTCAAACAAACAATCCCGATCTGTTCTCAGCAGACGAACTGATGGAGATTTTTATCAACATGACCGGTGCTCTACGTAAGTGCCGCAATAAACCCGAACAAATCCAAGTGCTCGGTAAGTTCATCATCCAATATGGTGTCTAAACCGCTAACCATCGCTACCTGGAACGCTTGCTCTGTAAGAGCTAAACAGATTGAGCTTGCCGACTTCCTCCGCAAGCATAGCATCGACGTGGGTCTTCTAACCGAAACCCACCTAAAGTTCGGTGACAGCTTCTGGTTGCCTAACCACAACATTATCCGGCTTGATCGCACCAGCTCCAGGGGGGGTGGTGTAGCGGTCATCGTCAGAAAGGGAATCAAGTTTTGCACTCTGCCCCACATCCGCACTTCTATCATCGAGGCCATTAGTGTGGAGGTGGAATCACCAACTGGAAACGTCCGGTTCATCGCTGTTTACTGCCCACGCCAGTGTACCGCAAGCAACGGATTAGGAATCCAATTCAAGAAAGACCTGACCGCCATCACCCGTACTAGCTCCCGATTCATCGTTGGGGGCGACCTGAACGCCCGCCATGAAGCTTGGCGGAACTACCAGAGGAACCGAAACGGATGTCTATTGTTCGACCACGCACAACGTGGACTGTACACAGTGCAATTTCCGGACGAACCAACTTTCATCTCTCCGGCGGGAAATCCCTCCACGCTAGACTTTTTCCTGTCAAACATCGGACTATCCAAGCCGGAGGCGCACAACGATCTCAGCTCCGACCACCAACCGGTGGTGACTGAAGTCGGTGTCAACGTGGTTCCTGCTAGAGGCTGCCTGCGTAAAGACTACCACCATGTCAACTGGGTGCAGTACGGTCGAATGGTGGACAGCAACATCGATGAAAATCCACTGCTCGACACCGTAGATGACATCGACCGGGCGTTGGAAGGACTCCAACAGGCCATATCCGAGGCTGACGAGACATGCGTTCGACAAGTTCCTGTGAGGGGTAAGTTTGTTGCTATTGATTCCCACACCCAATTATTGATTCGATTGAGAAATGTGCGTAGACGCCAGTTCCAGAGGACTGGAGTCCTGGGCAAAAAACGTGAAATGGCCGATCTGAACAGGCAGATTGCTTCCAGAATGGACTCACTCCGAAATGAAAGTTTCGGGCGTGTTGTCCAGAATCTGGACGACCGCTCCAGACCATTCTGGAAGGTAGCCAAGGTCCTGAAAAATCATCCCAAACCCGTTCCACCTCTCAAAGTCGAAAATGATGACGATCGGCTTTTAATTACCCCACAGGAGAAAGCAAATGCGATCGGCGAGCATGTCGCTTCATCGCATTTGCTTGGCTCGACTATCCAAAGTCCGCTCGATGATCAGGTTGCGCAATGCGTTCAAAACCTAGATGCCTCCCCTTGTGTCGTGCCTCCGGCGGATATGATTACAGTACAACAAATTTGCTCAGCGCTGAAATGCACCAAGAACATGAAGGCTCCCGGGTTTGACGGTATATTCAACTTGATCTTGAAGAGACTCAGCATGAAAGTGCAGTCTCTTCTAACTGCTATCTTCAACAGATGTTTGGAACTGCACTACTTTCCAAGCATCTGGAAAGTAGCAAAAATCATACCGATCCGCAAACCCGGTAAGGATCCAACATTGTCTTCAAGCTACAGACCAATCAGCCTCCTTTCAGCACTGAGCAAATTGTTCGAGAAACTCATTCTCAATCGTTTGCTCAAGTTTGTCGAGGAAAGCAACATTCTCCTTCCGGAACAGTTTGGATTCAGAAAGGGGCACTCCACCAATCATCAGCTAGTACGGGTGTTAAATAACATCCGAAGTAACAAAGCTGTATCCAAGTCCACAGCCATCGCCTTGTTAGACGTTGAAAAGGCGTTTGACAATGTTTGGCATGATGGACTTGTGTACAAGCTTTGTAACTTCAACTTTCCTTTACATCTTATTAAAATCACCCGTAACTACCTCCAGCAAAGGTCGTTTAAGGTATCGTTGAATGGTTGTCTTTCCGACACGTTTTCCATCCCAGCAGGAGTCCCGCAAGGCAGTTTGCTGGGCCCCTTGCTTTACAGCATTTCTACTTCCGACATTCCTCCCGCAATTCCTTCGATACCGCAATAGCCGTCAAAGGAAGGATGCCTCGCGAAATAACGAACAAACTTCAACGTTGCCTTAACGCCTTTGCTGATTATGCCACCACATGGAAAATCAAAATCAATGCCTCCAAAACACAAACAATCATGTTCCTCCATCGGCAATCACCCAAACTAAAACCGGCTCCATCTTGTACTGTAATCATGGATGGCACAAGGGTGGAGTGGTCCGCCGAAGTAACCTATCTCGGGATGTTGTTCGATGAAAAGCTCCTCTTCCGTTCGCATGTAGAGAAAACTGTAGTCAAGTGTTCTACCTTGGTTAGGTGTCTGTATCCGCTGATTTGCCGCAGATCCCGCCTCTCAAGGGTAAACAAACTGGCTGTCTACAAACAAATAATAGCACCTGCAATCCTCTACGCTGCTCCGGTGTGGGAATCATGTGCACAGACTTTCAGGAACAAAATCCAGGTCGCTCAGAATAGAGTGCTGAGGATGGTACTTGATCGTCCTTTTGACACTAGAATAACAAATTTACATGAAGAGGCAGGCATTGCCAAAATAGATTCCAGAATTAACGAAATTAAGACTAAATTTGCACAAAAATGTAATTTATCAGAACATGCTTTGATAAGCAATTTGTATACAGTAGATTAGGTGAATATAGTAGTTGTAGGTGAGTTATAGTTGTAAATAGTAGTTATAAGTAGTCTCTTTTTCCAATTCAAATCAAACCAAGCCCACCAAGGTGGTCATTCTCTAAAACAGGCCTGATAGGACTAGGAACTGTAATTAATAATAATTGAAATTTCACAGGAACTAAAGTTGAAAAGACGCATCTGTGTCACTTGATAAGTTATACATGTAAACCACACAAATTCAAGAAATATAGATCATTTAAGTAAAAAAAAGAAATTTGATAACTTTGGCTTGGTACTCCTGTTGGTACCTCCAGGTAGGTTGCCACAGTATATGCCCAGCCGTGGCTTAGGTTTTTCTGGATATTACACCCCAAATTCTCCTCTTCTGTGAACTTCAACCTAAAATTGAGTGATCCCTACCGAGGCAAGATTGATGTGACGTCATCGGACCTTTTGCTACTTTGGTTCGTTACCTGTTCTGCCAGGTCAGTAATAGCGAGCAGTATATGTCCGCCGAAGCGGAGACTATTTACCAGAGGTGGAGAAATTTCATTATTTGAAAGGGTGTCTTCAAGGTGATCCTAAAAGCCTAATCGATCCACTGAAAATTACCAGATAGCATGGGATACTCTGGTAAAGAGGTACAACAACAACAAGCCGTTGAAGAAGAAGCAGGTCCAATCTTTCTTCAAACTTCCGACTCTCTCCAAGGAATCTGTTACTGAGTTACGAAATCTGGTGGAAGGTTTTGACCGAGTTGTACAAACACTTGATCAAATCGTGGAACCTGCTGAGTACAAGGATGTCCTATTGGTGAATCTGCTCACGATGCGACTGGATCCATCAACTCGTCGAGCATGGGAAGAATATTCGGCCAACAAGGAAATGGATTTACTGACAGACTCACCGAATTTCTGCGTCAGCGAATGAAAGTACTGGAACCCCTTCCATCTAGGCAGACGGACAACAAGATCGTCCATCAGCAACAACCACCACCGAAACCGAAAGCTTCAGCAATCAAGGCAAGCTACAATTCGATTCAATCGTCAGGAGGAAGATGTGTGGCTTGTAAGGACAACCACCTTCTATGCCAATGTTCCGCATTCCAAAGACTTTCTGTGGCGAATCGGGATTCTCTTCTGAAATCTCAGGGACTTTGCCGGAATTGCTTTCGATCGGGGCATCAGGCAAAGGATTGCCAATCCAAATTTTCCTGTCGGATCTGCAAGAACCGTCATCACACCCTGGTTTGCTTCAAGTCGGAGAAGGATCACACTGTAACGGTCGCAGCGATTGCTGGAGGCAATCATTCTTCAAATTCCAAGGAATCCCAAGGCTCCTCAGGTTCCAATTCAATCGAACTGGCTAACGTGGCAGCCACTGACGTTTCGGTATACGGTACGTTTAATCAACTCACGTCGCAAGTCCTTTTAGCGACAACGGTAGTCATCGTCGAGGTACCACGCCCGTGCTCTTCTTGATTCCGGTTTAGAGAGCAACTTCGTTTCGGAACGGTTAACCCAAAGGATTAAGGTAATCAGGAATAAGGTCCACGTCTCGGTCCTTGGTATAGGACAAGGGGATGCCAAGGTCAAACATACAGTCCAAGCGGTCATACGTTCGCGAATCTCGGATTTCTCGCGAGATATGAGGTTTTTGGTGCTACCCAAGGTGACTGCGAATCTCCCTACAACCTCAATCAACACGGAAGAGTGGATTCTACCGAATGGAATTGAGCTAGCGGATCCTGGATTCTTCACGTACAAGGAAGTTGACATTGTGCTAAGCATCGAGGCTTTCTTCGAATTCTTCGAATCGGGGCGAAGGATTACAATCGGCAAACATCTACCAAGCCTTACAGACTCGGTGTTCGGATGGGTAGTATGTGGTGGCTGTTCAACTCCTATCAATTCTCTACAAGTCAACTGCCATTTCTCAACGTCCGAGGACTTAGAAAAGTTGATGGCACGTTTCTGGTCGTGCGAGGAGGTGGAAGGTGAAGAATTATTTCAACGTGGAGTTCAAAGAGGTCGTCATACTGTTCCCCTACCCAAAAACGAAGACGTTCTTCCAAACCTGGGCGAGTCACGGGACATCGCATTCCGACGTCTTCTCGGAACGGAACGGAGATTGGCAAGGGACGCCAACTTACGGGACCAATACATCGGATTCATGGACGAGTACCTGAAACTGGGACACATGCGCAAGGTCGAAGAAACTACGGAGGGACCGGTCAAACGGTGTTATCTTCCCCATCACCCGGTGGTCAAGGAGGCGGGTACCACCACCAAGATCAGAGAAGTCTTCGACGCCTCGTGTAAACGTCATCCGGAGTGTTCTTAAACGATGTGCTTCTGGTAGGGCCAGTTGTGCAGGAAGATTTGAGGTCAATTATCCTACGCAGTCGGATGAAGCAGATTCTCCTCGTATCGGACGTCGAGAAGATGTTCCGACAAATCCATACGTGGCTCAAGGATCGACCACTCCAGTCCGTAGTCAGCAGCAACACACTGGCGGTACTAAGCCAACCGGTATTTCCCAATCAGTGTTGGAGTTGGCGGATCATCTCCACTGCCGAATATCGAAGGAGGTAAGGACCGGCTAACCAACACCTTTCAATACCGAAATTTAGCCTATTCTATTAGCTAGGATTCAAACCGCCCTTGAAAGGGTAAGTTTGCATTTTTAGACTTTATATACTATGTCCTCTCAGATCTGGGATTTCTTGATTATTTTGTAAATGTATTGTATTTCTTCTACTCGGATCTGAAAAGGTTTACAAGCTAAAAATGGCGAACATTTGTTACGTTTAAGAATGAAATCATATCCTTCCTTAAGGATAAACAGAGTGAAAAACTAAACACCCATCAAAGTATTTTTGTTTTCAAAGGCACTACTGTCTATTTGAAGATGTGTCCTTGAGATGATTGGAATGGGTTCTTCAAATAATTAAAACATTCAGACTATGTAGAACTAATCCTTGCAAAAGTCACGCCAGATCCTTATCGCTAAACTCGCATCACCCGAGTAGTACACTAAACGTTCGCTATCTGAAACATGTTTACGTTTCACCTAGCGAACGACTAACTTAAATGCATTTCATGTGACAAACTAGTTGTTAAATGCATTTGAAATGCATCAATGTTCATTTGGTTCATTTTGATCTTTTGAAATGCACCAATTTGACAACTCAAAACTGCTCGATTACGTGGTCAATTGAAAAAGTAAGTAATAAAGGGGGAAGCTTTCAATGTTAATTTAGTTTTGCAGAATTATCTTAGTTTAATTGTAATGTTCAATTGCAGACAAGGAAATGTATTTAATGTAAATTCTAAAACGATTAACATATGTAAACACAAAGTTAAATTTGAAATACAACCCATTCCGAATTCAACTTGATCAGCATACTCAATTCCACAACATGTCAACGTCAGAAATTCCAGAATATCAATCGAGGGGATCACTCCAAAGAGTCGAAGACAAAGCAGCGCAATAAAAAGTGTCTCGAAACGAGTTAAAGGTAAACAAAAAAAATGCTTCCAGATTTAGCCGCACTCGCTCCTCGCTGTCACTACCCCATCCAAGCAACCGTGTTGATAGTAGGTACCGTCATTGGTCACACAAAAGAGGAAAATATGCACTTTTTATGTTCCGATACGCGTCTCTCATGTTAATAAGATTCATGACTCCTCGCCTTTTCTTCACTCAACATTGTATCCCCTTAACCTCCCCCCCTTAGCGGCGCCCCTCCATGTTGTCTTGTTCCTGCACACATTTTCAAAACTTTTTTCCTTTCTTCTTTTTTTTGGAGCCAGCCAATCGACCCCTCCTTGCCAATGCAACGTCGAGCGTGGTGGACAATGTTCTTCGCAATCACCCTGCCGAGTCTTCACGATTCAATCACTTTTTAACGGCTTTTTCTTTTACCTCTCCGCTCCGCCCCTCGCTCAACGGCCTGAAAACTTTTTTTTCGCCGCAAAAATTTATTATTCATCAAGTGTGTGTGCCCTCTCACCGACGAAAAATAATACTTTTTGACCGCCTCATGTCACAAGCAAAATGCATCTTATTCTCATCAGGACCGCCGGGCATGTCCTCCTTCGAACGAACGGAAGAAACGCAATATGTTCCATCCATTTTTCCCGAATAATATATGCGAAAGTTGTCCCTTCTCGGTGTCCCGGCCGACAGCATCAAAGTCAGCGCTGGCTGGAGCAAACCGCACCGCACCGCATTCATCACAGTCAACTTTGATGGCGGAACAGGTCTCGCGACGTCAGAGATCTCACGGACGCGATTCCACGTCCGATCTCAATAGGCTTTGACTTCAGCGCTTGCACATGAATGATGCACCATTTTTATCAATGCCTGCTTCTACGCTCATGCCTGATCCGTTACGGTCAAGAACCGCCAAAGTGGTCAATTTTATCTGCGCTCTATCTGGTTCCATCACCCACGGGTCCCTCGATCTCGTTACGGGCGGTGTCGTCGTGCGAACTCTAATTATTCCTTCAATAGCTGACAAAGCCACTTCCTCAATCCACACGGACCAACGACTTACACATGTACCACGGTACATTCTTCCGAACAAAATAATTACACCTGTTGCCGAACGGAGCCGCGAGTGGGAGAAGGATGGGGCAGGTAATCATGTTACCCCGAAATTGCTCCCATTAAAGCAATTTGTGAATTAACTCCCTCCCATCTAATGTCTCCATCAAATTAGAGTGACAAAAAAGCACTCCTCCTTGGCTGTGGTATTCCGCTTAGCGCCTCGATCTTCCCAACGATGGTAGGAAGGAACATGATCTTGATCTGTTGTCGTTAAATACCAAACAGCAGAAGCTCCAAAAATCTCCCAAAAAAAAACCTTGTAGAAAAAGAGTACAGTAATCGTTCGCTGGTTGGGACGCAACCTCATCCCATCTACCGAATGCCTTTCGCTCGTTGGGACGGGTTTTCAGGCGAAATAGCTCACTAGATTGAGCCCAAGTAACAACAATGAAATGTTTGTCACAATTTTCTGACTGGATAACTGCTTTTTAGTTGGGACGTCACCCAATTAGCGAAGCCCGACGAGAAAACCCCCAATGATGACTGTACACAATGCTACCACTAAAATAAGTATCATCATCATCATCATCATCATCATCATAGTAGTAGTAGTCGTCTCATCTCATAAAAGCAGTCATAAAATTCATTTGAAGAAGCGCTTTTTCAGGGGGTGCCTCTTCGCTCTGCCATCACGCCGCGCGGTGCACCGATTGGAATGGTCACTGGCCGGTCCCGCGAGAACGGAATGTCGAATGTTCTGACTGAACGAAAAGTGGCCCCGGCCGGACGGGCAAACAAACGAAGAAAATTAGTCTATTCCTGTTCAGTTTGGACTGTGTGAAGAACGGCAACATGCCTACCTATCGCTGTTTGCTGTATGAACGGGGATGGGAATCGCTTCGATGAGAACGACGACGGGGAAGGGTATGATCAATTAGAATGAGAAGGTAGTTTGGAACATTTAGAGCAGCTTTTCAAGCTAAAAGTATACGTGAAACGGCTGTGTAGAATGGCTCAGCACTTGAAAAATGGCAAAGTATGGAAATTGATCTTGATCTTGATGGAATTTATCAGCTGCCAGGATGCATGGGTCTTAAAGAGCTGATCAAAAGATATTTTGGAACAAGTTCAGTCATCTTTTGGGCCATAATGTAGATCTAATACGCCAACTGCGCAAGCCCCACGGAATAACTCCGGAGAGCATAAGAGTTTCATGGACTTAGTAGGTCAATTCCAGAAATCTTAAAAAACTACTATGATTGCCTGGAAGATCAACTTCAGTCTAGATTCTTCATGGATCTCATGGGTCCACTCGAATGTCCTTCAAACTTTACGGCTAATCTAAAAATTCAAAGGCATTATACCGCTTGCGTAATAATGTTTGCACCATCGTACAAATAAGTTTCCCGTTTCACCTGTGCATACAATGCCTTGGTTTTCTTTGCATGCACGTAACCTCGTGCTCTCTTGCCGTGTGGATCTATTTACTTTTTGCTGAAGTAAGTGTTACTACAACCTAAAGCTACAACAAATTTAAATAGCACTTTTCAGTGCTCAACCTACCCAAGTTACGGGGCATTTGATTTGCTCACGGATGATGATAATAATCCATCTTCTACGTCTGAAAGTTAAGTTTTCACTACAAATTAGGCGTCGGGTTGAATACCGTGTATTGGCTGAAACCTTGGACGGATTTAAATGTCTTCTCAAGTATCTTACTGAGAAGCAGCACAATTTTTTTACTTACGCACCAAAACTGAAAACGAGTGTTCAAGGTTGTCATGAAAGGACTGCCCAGTGGTGAATCCCTGGATCAGATCATAGATGATCTGGCAAAATTACTTGGAGTTGTGCCACTTCAAGTAATCAAAATTAAAATGAAATCCCGTCCTGGCGATTCGCGCAACTGGAATTCTAATGATTTTTATTTAGTTCACTTCAAGTCTAGTGAACTGATACTCTAAGGAAGCCTTAGCGTGAAACTTTAAGGGCACAAATGTCAGCTTCCACAAAACATACAATTTTGAAATTGCTACTCCTTGTTTGCTGTGCTACTACAAGGCCTTAGAAAAAGCTAGCTCCATGTCCGAGTGTGTGTGTGTGTTTTTTTTTTATGGTAAGGTTTAGGAAAGCTTCAAGAAGCCTGGCCTGTAGTGAAGTTGGCACGGTGTAGTATCCACTAATTGCCTAGTGCAACTTCACTAAAAGCCTTTCCTTACGCTCTCCTCTGCCTGGATCCCCCCGGGACCGCTGTGATTCGACTACTTCGGGGGGTGGCTGTGCTCCGACATAATCTGCGTGACTGCCCTGCTGACGGCATTCCAAGTGCCCTCCTCTCGACACATTTCTTCGACGACATTCTCCACGTTAAGGACGGGCATCTCCGTTCGCACTGCCTCGAACCTTGGACAGTCGAAGACCACATGCTCCGGCGTTTCATCGACGTTCCCACACTCCAGACAGAGGGGTGACGCTGCGTGTCCGAAGCGATGCAGGTATTTCCTGAAGCAGCCATGACCAGACAGGAACTGCGTCAAGTGGAAGTTGAATTCTCCATGCTTCCTGTTCACCCAGGTCGGAAGAATCGGTATTAGTCTATGTGTCCATCTACCGTTCTTCGCCGTGCTCCACTCCTGTTGCCACTTAGTCAATGACTCCACTCACACAACTTTCCGTACTCTTCCGGCTTCTCTCCGCCTGTAGTACTCGCTGTCCTCCGCCAGGGTGATGCCGATAGGGATCATGCCGGCGATAACGCATACTGCCTCCATCGAAATGGTTCTGTACGCACTCACGACTCGCATGGCCATGAGTCGGAACGTACTGCTCAGTTTCCTTTGGTTCTGCTTCGTTTCCAGCGCTAAACCCAGGCTGGACCTCCATATCTCAGTTTCGATGATGACACGCTGGCCAGAAGACGCCTCTTGCTACTGCTGGGACCAGCGTTGTTCGGCATGATTCTAGCTATCGCGTTGATGGCCTTCGAAGCCTTCTCACAGGCATAGTCGACGTGGCTGTTGAAGTTTAGCCGGTCAT